TTAAATAATTAATTAACATTGGTCCCAGCCCGTCTGTACCAAGAAACTAAGTTTGACTCAATATTTGTCTTTCTCTACTGTGTTGAAGTTACACATAGCGAACAGTTATTACCTGTTCGTACCTATCCCAAGAAAGTTGTGCTTGTAATAATATTGATTTAAGTTGGCTCACTATTAATGCATAACTTATACGGCCGTACTTCGTTGAACGAGTTTCCGTAAGCTTTATAAAAATATTTGTGAGCTATGTTTGGTCAGCTTGAGAAAGTAATATGTGTGCTTAGTTGGTTTTGAGATATTTTTGCTTTTGAGTACCAATTGTGTAATGATTCTTACTAATCATTACGTGAAAGTTCAAACGTTTAAAAAATATACCTACCTAATAAATATTAGGTATGGGTAAATGTTAATATTATTGGACTCGTATCGTATACAACTTACTTTTTTTATTAATTACTCGTGGTTTAAAGAATTTATTCTGAAAAAGACAAAAAGCCACATACATGAGAATATAATAATATATTGTGATATTATTATTCTAATGGTCACCGAAACAGTGGTAGTTATTTATAGCTTAAAATTTATGACATGGTTACACGTTCAGCGATTTCACATCCAGCCAATTTCATAATATAGTAAAGTAATTATTGAGAGTAATTTTCCAAAGTATGAATTGATTTAAAAACGCTAAATGAGCTAACATTTTTAATTTCAGACGGCAAATTGTTATACAGTTGTGCCCCCGTATTGACTGTTTTTTTTTTTGCATAGTTGTACATGTTTTTGGTAATATGCATTATGACTGCACGGATGGCGTAGTGGTTTAAGTGGTCGGCACGCCGCTTCTTACTGCGCCGAGTGTTGTGGGTTCAAACCTTGTGTGATCTACAAATTGTTGTTCTGAGTCTGGGTGTTCTTTGTGTCCGTTTCATGTACGAGTATGTTTGTAAAGTCCCCCGCGACATAGGAATATATATTCCTAATGCGGGCGTTGTCTTTTTTTTAATTAAAAATAAATAAATAAGTAAACTTGGATGACGATCACTGCGCTTACTGATAAGATATTTTTTTATAAATATAACAATATTAGATTGGATAGTTTTATCTATAAATTTTCTAACTAATATACAAGTACAATATAAATAAAGTTGTTTTATTATCTATCATGTGTATTAGTAAATTTTATCTATTGTGCAATAATAAAATATTGTGTATGCTTAGGAAAAATTTGTAAAATAGGTTTCCAGATAGTATTTAAATGACAGGAAACCTATAACAATAAAGTAGTTTTTTTTTTAAACTTTACACTTCTTACACACGGCAATCTGATCCCAAACTAGGCAGAGCCTGTGTAATGGTAACCGGGTTGCTGATAAACATGCTTAAATATTTAAATACTTTGCATTCAAGACAAAAGTGCGCGATCTTCTTCGGAGTGAATTGGGAGAACAGTCACAACGCTAGTACCCGACTGAATATTTTTATATCATATTTATGTATGTTTATGCATGTTTATATATAGTGTATGTATTGTGTATACTTCTGGAATTATTATTATATTAGGTCAAATTTATTATGTTATTTTGCACCTACCGTATTTTGTTTCTACATCACCTGAAGGTTGACTAGGAGAGTGTGCTCCATGGTATTAAGTCCGCCTTTGTACAACATGTGCATTAAGTTTTAAGTAAATACATACATACATATTATAGACTAGCTGACCCGCGCAACTTCGTCTGCGTCTCTCAATAGTAATAATTTTTTTCCGTTTTTGAAACATTCTTCATTGGTGCTCCGCTCCTTTTGGTCTTAGCGTGATGTTATATAGCCTATAGCCTTCCTCGATAAATGGGCTATCTAACACTGAAAGAATTTTTCAAATCGGACCAGTAGTTCCTGAGATTAGCGCGTTCAAACAAACAAACAAACTCTTCAGCTTTATAATATTAGTATAGATAAATTACACACAAATGATCCTGCTCATCACGTAATTATTTGTCCTGAATGGGAATTGTCAGATTCACAGACTACAAGACCAACAGCATAAATATATTATAAAAAGGTTCATTCATAATAAAGACCCACATTCTACTACGAGTATTATTGTTATTCTAAAGTGTGTTATCAAATACGCGACTGGTGTAATTATAGTGCGAGTGCTATTATCAATGCCAGCAATTGCTGGCATAGTTTGAATGGATTATGGATGATAATGAATTGCTTAACTAGAATTTGACTATTACAGAGGTCCTAGTGCAAGTTTATTTCACATCGCTCGTCACGGTGACCGCGTTCGGCGATGAGATAGCCCGCGCCATCTTCACCAATCACAACGCCAAACGCGTTCGCTATCGAGAGCGAGTAGAAGTGAAATAAACTTACACTAGTTCCTAGAATAGATAACTTAGTTATGATTATTCAGAGAATATTGAGTTATTCACGTACTAGATCAATACTAACGATCGTCTGTGATCGTATTTAAAGCTTAATTCATTAACGTTAGTGTTTGGTTATATATCGTTGATCTATGTAAAATAACTCTTATTGTGTAGACTTTTCTTACCGTGACATTCCAAGATATACATATACGTAACCAATGTGCATTTTCGTACCTATTCCCATGATTTTTTAATTTATATTACACACTGAGGAAAAATACTTGCTTCTGCCCTTAATCTATTTAAAAAAATGTATTTCAAATTATACAGTCCTCCATTAGCGAAATATGCTTAAAAATAAAAATCATATGTGAAAAGAGTTATTTGCACTTTATAAAGAATTCTCTCTACGTGTTAACATACACATAATGTATAATGAAAACCCTAAATGTATCTAATAATGACATCAACAGCGGGTTTAGAAACTTATACGTTATTCGCTCAACCAGACAGATAATAGACATGGTTAACGTTTTTTTTTTTATTAATCTTGGTATTTTTGTTTTATTAAAGCAGTGATCCGTTTGCCTGATATAAAAGCATTTAGAGATGCTTATACAATTAAATTATATCCTCTAGTGATAAACTCATGATTTTATTTTATTTTTATTAATGATATCCCGGATTGTTTCCAGTTCTCGGAAGTCTTCATGTATGCAGATGATCTAAAGTTCGTTAGGAAAGTAGAATCAAATGATGGTGTTATAAATTTACATGATGTCCTTAATACGTTGGTGCAAAAACAACAAAATGTATTTAAATTTTAGAAAATGCTATCATGTAAAGTTTATGCGAAAACTGAATAATATAAACTCAAAATATTATATAGGCAATGTCAAAATAAATGAAGTTGACACTGTACGGGATTTAGGAATTACATTTGATAAAAAAAAAAGTTTGAACCGCATTGGGTAATATCACTAAAAAGGCATAAAAATGTTAGGATTTGTTATAAGAAATTGTACAGCTCTTCGCAATATTTTTTTTTTATGGAATACTATTCCATAAAAAAAAAATATTGCGAAGAGCTGTACAATTTCTTTACATATATATACAATTACAAACAATATTATACAATTGCAAACGAGCAGACGGGTCACCTGATGGAAAGCGACTACCGCCGCCCATCAACACCTGCAACTCAGGAGCAACAAGCGCGTTGCCAGCCTTTGAGGAGGGAGTACGCTCTTTTCTTGAAGGTCGTATCGGTCTGGAAATACCGCAGCCGATAACTTGTTCCACAGGTTGGTAGTGCAAAGCAAAAAGTGTCTTGAAAAGTGCACAGTGGTGTAGCGCCAATTATCCAAGTGAATGTGTGGGGATGAAAAATTTGACGTGTGGAACGATATTAGTCCAAACAATTCCTCGAAGCAGACTGCATGATATATAGAGAATTCAGAGCGAAACTACATCTCTACGTAACGCCTAGATATATAACAATTTAATTGGAAGCAAATTGGAATACGCTAGCATAGTCTGGAGGCCGCATTATACTGTATACTCATTGCGACTTGAACATGTACAAAAGCGATTTCTCATTCGCATTCTGCGATGGCATCACCAAAAAAATACGCTCTTATGAAGGCGAATGAGGCACTTTGGAATAAAATTCCCAGTAAGACGTATAATCCTAAACGATGCAATGTTCGCGTACAAAATTTTAGATCAGAAAATTGACTGTCCTCAGTTAGTAGCCCTATTTAAGTTTCACGTTCCATCCAGACTGTCGCGCAGCCCACTCACGCCACTTTGTTCCTATCTAAGAAGAACAGTTCTTGGTGTCCATTCTCCCTATGCAATAATGTGTAACGTGGTAAATCACTACAGCGATCTCACTAACTTATACTTTACTACAATTTTGTATGAAAAAGTCCCTACTTAGTGATTTACTATGACGCGATAAAAGTAAAATGATTTTTTTTATTAATACTCTACCTGTGTGAGATTTTCTCATTTATTGTTTTATTTTGAGTTTTGATGTTTACTTATAAATGGCTGGTGCATTGTTATTAAATATATATGCATGCATTAGTTTAAGGAATCAATGTAAACAGTTGTCGGTAAACCTTTAATAAATAAATGAATAAAAAAAGTGTGACAGCCCTACACCTACGAGTAATTACTTAACGTTATTTAACTAGTAATTTGGTTTTAGAAGGACATGACTTAAGCGTTATAGCTTATTGTTCTAAGGAATGTAATAAAATATAACAGATAGGAGAAAGCACTAGAAATTTCTTGAAATATAACTTTAAAAGCTTTCCACACTTTCTAATGTATTTTTATGTGCACGTTCATTTCACATTAACTCGACAGTGAGCGCATTCGGCTTTGCGATTGTTGAAGACTTCAGCGCAGGTCAGTGGTAGCGCCAAACGCGGTAACCGTGACGGTCGAATAGATGTGAAATAAACTCACACTTGGACCTCAGAGGCCTCTTTATCGCGATTATTATTTATTACCGTCGCGAGGCTGCTGCGCGCGGCTAGCCCAAGCCATTTGTTCGTTCGTTCAGTTGAGAGTTAAGATCTTTTTCCCATATCAAAACAATCTATATCAAAGATGACATCAATCTATATGACATGCTCGGGCCAGGCACAAACAACAGAGGTGCCTTTGAGCGAAACAAAAAACCCGACAGCCGAGCTACCGAGGCTCGGCCGTTCGGTCACTCGCCCGTTGAGCCGCGCGCACTTTTCTCGGCCGAGGCACGTCCGCACAGACCGAGAAGCTTCGCGCGGCAAATGCTTCACGGTGCTGCTCGCTCTGGGTGTTGATGTGAAATAACCTTGCACAAGGCCCTCTGTACGTCAATGTCATGTAAATCAAACGTCACAAGTACGTTGACGGCCTTTGAGGTGGGAGTACGCTGTTTTCATTGCGCTTTGAACGTCATATCGGTCTGACAATTCTGCACGTACAAGCTACAAATCGATACTGTAGTTTTTTAATTTTATTTTATAAAGCCATCTCCCGCACTAGCAATACATCCTGTGCCTCGGGACTTTACAAACATACATGTAACGGACAAAAAAAAGCCTCAGTCTCCAAACAACAATTTGTGGATCACACAAAGAGTTGTTCCAGGTCGAACACATAGGAATACTCACTACGCCATCCGTGCAGTCCAAAATTTAGTTTATTGTTCTATTAATACTATTATTTACTATGTTATAGATCAATTGGTTTATTTTACTTTTATTAGCTTTTATTAGCTTTTTCTATCTTAAGAACAATACTATAAAGCTAAACACTAAGGTTGTCAATATTGAAAGAATAAACACAAAAAGGAAATCAGATGAAATAACTTAAATAGGTACACAGTTTCTTCTTCTTCTTTTTTGTAAGTACTTTATTCTTTATATATATATATAAATGTATAATCTAAACCTTTAAAACAATAATATCACGATACGGAAGGTTTATTTATTAAAATTACTTTATTATAAACTACTTTTGTGTACTATTACTTATTTGACAAATAATAATTATTGTCGCCGGAGCGACACCCGCGCTTAGTGTGTAGTATTTATAACACGAGGTACACGAGCATATGGTGCACTATAACCGTAAAATTTTATCGCTTTCGATGCTGAAATGATACACGAAACAATCTAAATTATAGCGGGTGGCGTGTCCCTGGCACCGAGCCAGTGTATTGGTAATGACAGAGCTTATCCAATTTGTAACGTTATCTACGAATATACAAAAGGTTGACAGCTACTGTCTGGACCTTAACCACTGAGTAATATGAAAATTTTTCCAACCACATTATTTAATTAATACTAATCTAATAAATAATTTTAACTATTATATCTAAATTTGTCTATATCAATGAAGTAACGCTGAAGACTTTTTATGAGTACTAAAACTAAGTTTTATTACTAAACTAGTTTGCCAAGAGGACCCTTCAGGCGGCGATAAAGCGGGCCAAGAGCGAGGCCCGCCGCGAGATGCTGGACACAACATGAAGGGACCCGATGACTCCTGCAAGACACTCTACTCGGGGGTTGTGCGGTCCATGGCCCTATACGGGTGCCCAGTATGGGCGGGGCCCTGAAGGCCAGCAACCGCAGCGAGTGCTGGCCATCAGGATCATAAGGGAGTACCGCACGATCTCCTTTGAGGCGGCGAGTCTCCTGGCCGGAACTCTACCGTGGGACCTGGAGGCGAGAGCCCTTGCGGCTCTGTATCAGTGGCGCAAGGAGGCGCGGGAGTTGGGTCGGTGTCCCGAGATTCGAGAAATCGATGACCGGAAATCCCAACTCCGCCAGGTTATCATAGGAGAGTGGAGGGAACGACTCGGGCAACCGAGCGCCGGGCACGCCGTCATCGCGGCTGATGGAGGATTGGCTCGAGAGACGTCACGGGACCCTCTCATACCGACTGACGCAGGTGATGAGGGAAAGGATGTTTAGGGGATCACCTGTGTCTGAACCGCAAGGAGCCAACGCCTGAGTGCCACCACTGCGATGGCCAGACCGTGGACACGGCTCTCCAAACGCTGGCAGAGTGCCCGGCGTGGGTTGAGCACAGACGAGACCTCATGGCGGCCATCGGAGTGGGAGTTCTCTCGCTCGATAGCCTGATTGCGGCTATCGTGCGGAGCGAGAGTACGTAGAACTCTGCCGTCTCCTTCTGAGAGCCAGTTATGCTCGCGAAGGAGACGGCGGCGGAGCGGTACCGGTAGAGGTTTAGAACTCTCCCGGCCCGCCAGGCCCAGAAACGGGCCCGGTGCCGCAGGCGACTCAGGCGCCGGAGGTCGCAGAATGACCTCCGTCCTCCATAAGCGCAGGCCTGGGGGTGACAGGTGACGCCATCTGTCACTCTAGCAGAAGCAGGCCGGGGTGGCGGCGAACTTTTTTACCTGACGGCCAAGGAAGGGTTTTTTTTTTACGTATCTTGTATGTTTGTTTGTAAATTTCTTTATTATCGCGTCCTTCCAAATTGCAGGATAGATTTCAATGGTTAAGTTTTCAATGGTTTTTTGAAAGAAAAACACAAAATGGCGGATTTTTGGAGCAAAATAGTAATAAGTTAGTAAAAAAAAATTATCCAACCTATGGAGTAGGTGATCAAAATCAAAAAAATTAAAAAGCAATTACCAATATACGTATTTAAATTTAATAAGGGATAATAAATTAGTTTAAAAAGTCTTTGATAGCGTAAAAATGGGCCATGTTCTTGTCGGACCTTGTGTTGTTTGGATTATTTTAGTGTCTTTTAAATTGTCTTTTTGCAGTCGGGTTTTTGATTTTTAATTTACTACTTGTTGGTAATCTAATGGTACCTTTAAAGGATTCTTCTATATATATATAGATATATATATATATAGAGATATATATATATATATCTATATATATAAAAGAAAGTCGTGTTAGTTACACTATTTATAACTCAAGAACGGCTTTACAGATATGGTTGAAAATTGGTGGGGAGGTTGCTTAGAGCCAGGAGACGGACATAGGATACTATTTATTCCGTTCGACAGTGTTTTTTTTTTTTTTGTTTTTTTTACGAACATCCATGTTTTTCCCATGGTCAATTATATGTGGCATGTTCACGGGTCGGAAGACCATCTGCGTTGTTTGTTTTTGCGCCTGATAAGAAAACAAAAAATGTCGTGTATCACAAGGTACTTAAGTGAAGAGCAACCTATCTACTGAAATGCAGAAACAATAATAAATGATTAATGTACTTCATTTTTTTTTCTAAGAAAAAAATTAACTTACTAAATTCGAAAATGGGCTTATTTATTGCCTTTAAGGCGGAACAGAGTTCGCCGGGTCAGCTAGTATCTATATATATAAACGAAAGTCGTGTGAGTTACACTATTTATAACTCAAGAACGGCTTTACTGATCTGGCTGAAAATTGGTGGGGAGGTAGCTTAGAGCCAGGAGACGGACATAGGATACTATTTATTCCGTTCGACAGTGTTTTTTTTTTTTTTTTTTGTTTTTTACGAACTTTGCTTTACTCGGAGATGCCACGTTATTATACTTGGAATGCTTCGAATTTTCAAAGACGGAAGCAAGGCGATGCGGTTCCTGGGTATCCGGATGTGCGTTCTACTGATGGTCTTGGTCGTATGTATACAGTTGTTGCTGGTAAATGTGCATGGGCCAAAGTCAGTTGAGACACTACGGACTGTTAATGGTGTAATATTTCTCTGAGCAATTGCTGACTATCGGTAATGGTCAAGTACCTGTCGATGAATCGAGCGGATTGATATCATTTCCAAATAATTTCTGTAATTTTGTCTCATCAAAAGAAAAATTATCAACATTGTATTTAAAGACATTATTTCTAACTACAAAAATAATGAATGGTTGAGTGAGCGAGCAATTTTAGCGGCTAAGAATAAAGATGTAGACGACCTGAACTATATAATTCAAAATAAGATCATTGAAACAATGCATTCATTCAAATCTATTTACTGCGTCACAAATGAAGATGAAGCCACCAACTATCCAATTGAATTTTTAAACTCCTTGGATGTGCCTGGCTTACCACCACAAAATTTACGCCTAAAGGTTGGCTCCGTAGTAATCATGCTTCGAAACATAAACCAACCAAAACTGTGCAACGGTACGCGTTTGGTGGTTAAAAAATTGATGAACAATGTAATTTAGCGACGATATTGAAAGGAAAATTCAAAGGTGAGGAAGTTCTCATTCCGAGGATCCCGATGATCCCAACAGATTTGCCGTTTGAATTTAAAAGACTTCAATTTCCGATCCGTCTTGCATTTTCCATGACCATCAACAAATCACAAGGCCAATCCTTAAAAGTTTGTAGTTTGAATCTAGAACATCCATGTTTTTCCCATGGTCAATTATATGTGTTCACAGGTCGGAAGACCATCTGCTTTGTTTGTTTTTGCGCCTGATAAGAAAACAAAAAATGTCGTGTATCACAAGGTACTTAAGTGAAGAGCAACCTATGTACTGAAATGCAGAAACAATAATAAATGATTGATGTACTTCATTTTTTTTTTCTAAGAAATAAATTAACTTACTAAATTCGAAAATGGGCTTATTTATTGCCTTTAAGGCGGAACAGAGTTCGCCGGGTCAGCTAGTATATATATATATATAATCTGAATCTCGAAAAGGGCTTCAACAATTTTCATGAAATTTGGTAAGCAGGAGGTAGCGAGGGCAATTAATCGATCTAACTAGGTTGAAATTTACCAAATGAAAATGCCAAGCGAAGCTCGGTCATCCAGGTACTTTATATTAAATAAATAAATAAAAGTGAACGTTGTGACCTTTGTATGTATTTATTATTTATATGTGCTACTAGTACATACTAGTTACAATATTAATATATTGTAAACGTATTTAGTATGTTTATATGTATTAATTATCTAGAGTATTATAAAGTACACCACAGACTACCCAAAATCAGATTTGACAATATCCGTGTTAAGGTTGTCTGTCAGAGAATGCCGTGAGCGATAAGACTGCCTATTGTAATACTAAAATGTAGATGGCCATTCATGTCTGTACAATATATACTGTAGCGGTGTATAAAAGAAAAAAGTTTATTTATTAACCTATATATACTATTCCCTGTTCTGAAATTATTTATTAAAAATTACTTGAAAGAAGTTATTGGTATCAAAACAAACTAACTAATTGTCTAAAGCAAAACCTTAATGATATCCTCATAATGATAACATAAGTTTCCAACGAGTTGTAATCGTGTAGAATCAAGTAGCATCCAGTGTAAAATCAATATTTAGTTACTATGGATCACTACAGTCATAGTTTTATTGGTTGG